GCAGTTTCCGCGGTGTTTATCGTCCATCTTCCTTTGCGCCTCCATAATCTCATCTTCCCGCTTTTTGCGGTACTCCGTCTCACGCGTACGGCGCAACTTCATGAGCTGCTGGATTTCTTCGTTGCAGCGCGTGAGATATTCCTTTCGCTCATTCTCGTACGTCGCCTCTACTTCCCGCAGCTGACTGGTGTACGCGTCAAGGTACTTCTCCGTCTGCCCACGCATCTCGGCAACGAGGTTGTTGACATCCGCCGCATTGCGTTGAAGTATCGCCACAAACTCCTCCTCGCGCTCTTCCAGCTGCTCGCGCAGCAGTTCAATAAGGCGGTCCTTTGCGGCGATCAGTTCCTTGCACTGCTGCTCCTGCTCCTCAAGGGACTTCTTCAGTTCATGAGGCGCGTTCAACTTGTAGATGGACTCAAACCTCAACTCTATTGCCCCCTGCTTGATTTCATTCGCCTTCAACTCCTCTCGGCGCTTCTGGCGTCGCTCATCTACAAGACGCTCTTCACGCTCGCGGCGCTCATTCTCGTTCTTGCCAACGTTAACTTCCCAGCTGGTCACTGCGCTGTGGGCAGTGCTGACTATCTCCGCCATTTCACAACGGGCTTGGCGCACAGACTCCTCGCCCAGCCCAATCGCCCCGCTGGCCCCATTACCGTCACTGACATTATTTTCGGCTCCCACCACCGTCTGCGTGCTCCTCTCGCTGTCACACAACTCTTTCAATCGCCGTCGCACACGAATTCGTCGTTCAGCAATGCGCTCATCCCTTTCGTCATCCGCAAACGCCACCATTTCTCAATATCCTCCCTCCCTTTCTTTCCTTATTAAAGAAAACAGAGAAAAAAAAAGGAACACGTGCGTGGTTATGTGAGTTTGTGTGCGTGCACGCGGTTGGAGCGGTGGCGCGGCAGCGGAACCAAAGAAACCAGCGAGCAAAAGAATTCGCAACTTCAAAGAGAACCGGGAGAAAAAAAATAAATAAAGATTGTTAAAAGGGTTAGGGTTCTTTGACTGCGGGGAACGGCAAATGCGAAAAGATGCGCTGGGGGCAACCACCGGCCAACAAACATAACTCCCCTCCCCCTTGCAAAAAGAAAAAAATAATAATAAACACTCCCGCCACTAAAGAAAAAATACAAAAGAAAAAAAAAAAAGAGATTCATAGCCGAGTGCTTTACACACGTCAGTTCTGCTCTCCAGAGGCCAAATCGCCGAGAAAAAACACACTACAGCACCCCCAGCCCATTTTATCCTTCTCCGTTTCCCCCGATTTGAACTCTTCCTCCTCTATGTAACGGGAAAAAAAAACACGTTCCCCCTCTCACTCGGGTTAGGGAAACTCCACCCTCGATCTCCCACTTCCGTTCCTGCTCTTCCATTCTATTACAGAGCAAACACATGCCGTATTGGGTCGTGCTCACGCATGAGAGGCGGAAGAAAGAAGAAGAAAAAAAAAAAAAAGAGAAAGAGAGAGAGAGAGAGAGAGGTGAGGCGATACGCATGCGACCACAGTAGTGTTAAGGATGTTTTATACATCTATGTACGCAGATTTATGTACATCTCAATTTTTTTTTTTTTTTTTTTTTGTCCTTTAAATGTTTCTCTTCTCTTTCCGTTTCTTATCGTTGAGAAATACGCCCGCTGCCTTCTATTGTCAGCCATGACTTCAAAATAAGTAACGGTTGGAAATATTTCTATGGGCAAGACAATTGACTGTCGGGCGTGGAGAAATCCACGCAACGCCAGACACGTCTCCAAAACACACAACCCTCATAAATACACGCACGTAACAACAACAGCAACCCCTTCCCTACAAAAACAAACAAACAAACAAACAAACAAACAAGAACATATGGGCAGCCGATAAAAAAGACAAAAAACAAAAAGAAGGGACTTGAACAACAACAAAAATGGGGAAATAAAAAAAGAGGATAGCACCGAGGATTCTTCACATCGCCTGAAATGTACTTCAGGCGCCTCACCCTCACCTTTTCTCTACCTCCCTCATGTATATATATGTATGTATATATGTGTGCAAGTGGCTGAGCGAATGGGGAGAATACGCATTCGGAAAATCTGACAAGAACAAAGTTGCAATCCTGAACTTATTGCCTCCTCCACAAGCGACACCACCCAAAAAAAAAAAAAAAACAAGTTTCTTTTTTTTTTTTTTTTATTGGTGTTGTTTTTCTTTTCGTTCGTCTCCAAACTTCGGGCCCACTTCCTTCCTCACAAAACTCTCACTTCTATAGGACTTCATCCAAGTACATTTTCTGCGGTCCGGTAAAAAGATCAACGAGCGGCGGCGAAACACCACATGGCAACGACGCAAACATCTCAGTCTTTTTCGTCGTCACATCAGGCGATGGTGAGAGTCCGTCGGGATCCTCATTCTGTGAATCCTTGCCGGGCGTTTCTTTGCTGAAGGCAGCAGCCCTGAAGGCGGGTTGGCAAGACAAGTATTGCGATATCGCGGCACACGGGTACTCCCGCCGCATCTCTTGTACGGCGGGCAAATGAGACTGGGCGGCGATGGCAAGCGCGGCATCGGCGTAGCCAACGAGGTTTTGCTTGAGCAGTGCGCGGTAAAGGGTGAGCGTCACCTCAACTGGGAGAGAAATCTTCAGCGACAGACGCCCCACAGCGTTGGCTACGGCCGATTCACTGCATTTGAGCCAAAATAACACGACTCGTGCAATGTTTTCCTTCAGCATTTCTTGAATGGCTGGCGTCCT